GTGTGTGTGTGTGTGTGTGTGTGTGTGTGTGTGTGTGTGTGTGTGACCACATTATATATCCACCAAAATCAATATAAAACTTACCTCCAAAGATTTTGAAAAAAAAATACACTTAATATATAAAACAAAATCCACAGGGCGCTGGAAAACGGAAAACTGTCCACCGGTCATGAATTCCAACAGTTTCAGTGTAGAGAAAGATAGAAAAATATCCGATATGTAAATCACTTCTTCGAGGCTGAAGGACTGACCACCTTAAAATTACTTCTTCAAGGCTAAAAGACTGACCACCTCAAAATTACTTCTTCAAGGCTGAAGGACTGACCACCTCAAAATTACTCCTTCAAGGCTGAAGGACTGACCACCTCAAAATTACTCCTTCAAGGCTGAAGGACTGACCACCTCAAAATTACTTCTTCAAGGCTAAAGGACTGACCACCTCAAAATTACTCCTTCAAGGCTGAAGGACTGACCACCTCAAAATTACTTCTTCAAGGCTAAAGGACTGACCACCTCAAAATTACTTCTTCGAGGCTGAAGGACTGACCACCTCAAAATTACTCCTTCAAGGCTGAAGGGCTGACCACCTCAAAATTACTTCTTCAAGGCTGAAGGACTGACCACCTCAAAATTACTTCTTCAAGGCTGAAGGGCTGACCACCTCAAAATTACTTCTTCAAGGCTGAAGGACTGACCACCTCAAAATTACTTCTTCAAGGCTGAAGGACTGACCACCTCAAAATTACTTCTTCAAGGCTGAAGGACTGACCACCTCAAAATTACTTCTTCAAGGCTGAAGGGCTGACCACCTCAAAATTACTTCTTCAAGGCTGAAGGACTGACCACCTCAAAATTACTTCTTCAAGGCTGAAGGACTGACCACCTCAAAATTACTTCTTCAAGGCTGAAGGACTGACCACCTCAAAATTACTTCTTTGAGGCTGAAGGGCTGACCACCTCAAAATTACTTCTTCGAGGCTGAAGGACTGACCACCTCAAAATTACTCCTTCAAGGCTGAAGGACTGACCACCTCAAAATTACTTCTTTGAGGCTGAAGGGCTGACCACTTCAAAATTACTCCTTCAAGGCTAAAGGACTGACCACCTCAAAATTACTTCTTTGAGGCTGAAGGACTGACCACCTCAAAATTACTTCTTCAAGGCTGAAGGGCTGACCACCTCAAAATTACTTCTTCAAGGCTGAAGGACTGACCACCTCAAAATTACTTCTTCAAGGCTGAAGGACTGACCACCTCAAAATTACTTCTTCAAGGCTGAAGGGCTGACCACCTCAAAATTACTTCTTCAAGGCTGAAGGACTGACCACCTTAAAATTACTCCTTCAAGGCTGAAGGACTGACCACCTCAAAATTACTTCTTCAAGGCTGAAGGACTGACCACCTTAAAATTACTTCTTCGAGGCTGAATTACTGACATCCTCAAAATTACGTCTTTAAGGCTGAAGGACTGACCACCTCATATTTACCTCTCCACTTCCTCTGCAATTGCTTATTTTAGTCACCTCAGTATTGGAAAGAAAAAGCCGGTCTTAGGAAGTGTGAAAGAGTTAAAATATCTTCCTATTTACAGGCAATGTTGTTAGCATATTTATAATTTATTGAATTTTTAGCTATTGTGTTTATGAGTTCATTTATCTGTCAGTTTTATTTTAAAAGTATCATATTGTCAGTTAAACCACAACATGTTTATAAAACAAAATGGTTGGACATTGTGGTATACCTGGAACAGGTTTTGGGAGTTCTACTTTGAAAACCCATAGTGAATCTGATTTATACCTCCTGGACATCAACATGGATTCACATGTATCGCTGTCAGAGTTCTATTAAACTAACGTTTTGACCAAACAGACGGAAGTTTAGTAACTCTTCTGCTCTTTGAAGTGTATTTTTTCACACCTCAAGACACCTATAATTTCTTCATCCCTTATTGTTAGCATCATACTCGCACCTCACTTTCATCTCATACGAGTTAGTACAACTGTCTTCTGAATCCTTGTTGTTCTTGCAATATTTGAAGACGGTGTTTTATGCTTCTACTAAAGCTTCTTCACCATTATTTTCCTATATAATCCCTACCTTAGTATCCAGTGACAAAGTAATTTACATCTTAACATTTCTGCTTGTTTATTTCCTTCACATTTTCTGGAATTCACCTCTACAGAATACCTGTTTTCAGGTATTGAAGAAATTCACTTCTATCATTCCAGTTCCTTTTAGTGTGACCTTAATTCTTCCATTTGCCGTGATGCAACTTACTCTCACCCCCCGTATTCTTTCTCGCGCGCGCGCGCACACACACACACACACACACACACACACACACACACACACACACACACACACACACACGCACACGCACACGCACACACACAAATTTCTTCTAGACTCACGTAAGCAGCGTCATCAGCATACAGCAGCCGTAGCAGCTCTCAGTTTGTTAGACTGTTTATCTTTGAAGACCTACATCTGATCCCAACACTAGTATTTACATACATCTCCACTGATAAAGACCTTCAACAACTACGATCTCATGACATATTCCTGTCAAATCTCTACCGAAAAGTGTGCCTCATTTCACCTCGTGCCCTAACCTGAGTCTCAGTCTTTTCAATACCTTGATACAGGTTTTAGTATTTTACCATCTATTCTATATGTAGTAGCACAACCAAATCATTTTTCTGTTATATACAAAATACAACACAAATTTGTTTTTCTTTTATTTATTTTCCGCTCAGTGACTGTATATGCTTCTTCATGAAGGCTGCCTTCACCATCGTGTTCTGTAACAATGCAGCCACAATCTTATCTGGGTTACTCAGCAAGCTTGTTCTCGTATAACTCTCACCCCTTTCAAACATATATACACTGGATAAAAGCGCCTGTCATTCTAATACTTCATTCTCGCTTGCTTTCAGTATTTCTCTAGTAATCTCATCCATTCTCTCTGCTTTTCTCACCTTCGACCTTCTTACTTGGTCACTTCCACCCAGCTCTTGTAATATATATCATTTATCCGTGCTCCCTTCACGAAATTTCTGCCTCCTTCGTTATCTACACTCAATATCGTATCAAATTTTATCATTGTTTTTCCAATATATCTTCGTCTTTATCCAGCAGGTCGTCTCCCAAGCCTCGGCCACCAAGTTCACTTTCTCCCTCGGTTTATATTTCATAAAAACCTACCGTACGTTAACTTTTCCTCCTTTGGCACCTCCTTTCACCTCATCCTTCCATCCATCATCTTTCTTCGCTCCTGCACACCACACCTTCATGTAATCACAGACCTCTGCTACATTCACACTTCCTGTTTTTAATTCTACGCACCAGCTCTATATGTTCATTACCTTGTCTCTTATTTTAGATACCGTTTCTTCCAGCAGAGGCTCATACATCTCACTAACCATTCTTTTTCTTTAATTCAGTTAGAGGCTCCCAAGTAGCATTTATTTCCTGTGACTCGAAAGCTTTATTACCTCACTTCTCACTTTAGCATTACTAAGAAAATAATTCTTCACAACGCAAAACTCGCACAAACTCTGCCTATTACCCACTTCTCAAATCCCACTTCTATTCTCACACAATTTTTGAATATATTCACTTCCCCTTTTCATTATTTTCTCCTTTTTCTTACTTTCAGCATTAACTCTACTCCTTGGTTTTAGCTCTTTTTCTTTTATACATTACATATTTACTTTACCTAATTTACATCTAATCTCTCTCGCCTCTTCTGATTTTGTTTCATTAAGTACTAGGGCATCCACGTTCCTTTATATCATTGCATTATTAATCAGTTTTCTCTTAATTCTCATACTAAATCTATGGAAATCAACTATTATTTTTTCTTGCATATGTAAATCGACTTTTTCCTTCTGTATTTTTTTCATTGCGCGCGCGCGCAGACACACAACACACACACACACACACACACACACACACACACACACACACACACACACACACACACACACACACACACACACACACACACACACATGTGACAACTAATATGAATTTTTTAGTTGAAACTCGTAACCGTGTACACAAGTACTTGCAATGGCGCGCACGTCTACCGCAAATCTACATCCACCAAGGTGCATGGAAAACAGTTAGGGTAGGCAAGAGACGGCTGGAGTGATGGTGGTGCTCACTACCTTGCTCTTCTCACCACCAACACATGCCCCAGGACTCATCGGTAAAAGTTTCCCCCAACCTTTTGTCTCTTTTGTGAAGAACGGCCATTATCTCGCGCACATGATAGATGGCGAACGCTCATGTTAGCTCGATTCCAATTACGTGAAATATCAGATTACCGAAGGCCAGTAATGGAATAGATCCTAAAAGAATGCCCCAGTCGTTTGTCATTGGTGATGCATGCGCCTATTAACTCGCAACGAATTTGTCGGTGATTGTTATTGATTCAGATTCACCTTGGTGCTGCAATCACGACTTTGTACTCATTATAAAGTCAGCGGGCCGACCTGGCCAGCAGCTTGCGCAATTTGCAACGAACCGAGACTTGTAACTGGAGCCGTGATTATGGAGAGGATGGTTTTTTTTTTTTTTTGTTTGTGGGTGTTATCGAGACTGCAGTTGATTGGAATGGTGATGATTTATTAGAGGTCTGCAAGTATTCTGTTACATCTGGCAGTTGTGAGCCGAATCCTTTATTTTGAGGCGTTAACATATCCGGCAGTGTAACGCCAGGTTGGCCCCCAGGCATCGCTCTCTTGCTATACATCTAGTGTGATTACCTCCCATCCACAAAGCGCTATAGGATCCTTTATGAATTTACAGCTCCTCGTGAAAATAAATTAGTAACAGTTTTTGTACATCCTGGCACTTGTCTGCTATTAGCGAATTCGAAGGAACGTTAGGAACGACTTTTTTTTGCGTGCGTGCGTGCGTGTGTGTGTGTGTGTGTGTGTGTGTATTTATAGATTTTTTTTAGGGTTAGTGAGTATTGTTACAGTAAAACCTTACCTGAATTACTGCTAGACCTACATCTTGTCAGCCTGGCTTCGTGAGCTGCAGCCGCTGCCCCCAACCTGCAGTGGCTCCGACGACACTCACAAGGAAACTGGCCAGAGTCCGTCCTACCGCGGCCGCCAGCTAAGGGGTTGCGAAGGGGATGTGACCGTACCAAGGTGTAAAAACTCAGCTACCCATTGTCCAGCTGAGGCAATGCAGATTAATCTAGTGACCAACGGAGGATTTCTACCGACGTGGACCCCGGGCACAAAGAGGGGACAAAGCTACCACAGCCGTCTGAGAGCGGGGGCGACTTTTTGCCCGTAAGGGAAAGGCGGCCGGCGCTGGCACCCAATGCAGGCGCGGCCAGCGCGGACGGCGATGCAGCTGAGAGCGCTGACCACGGGTAGGGTAACGTGCGAGGCTGACAATGCACTCACAATACTCTTGGGAATATGCAACGGCCAGGCGAATTTTTTGTCACGCTCGCCTGTCATATGCAGGATGCGGCCTGACCCTCTGACCACTGCAGGTAGGGTGCCGGCTGCATTGTCAGGAGCAAGAGGGGCGAGGAGGGGGCTCTAGCGCCCCTCTCAACATCCCCTGCCAACCATCACTCACTCAAGCCACCTCCCCTAACCACGGAAAGTCATTTAAAGCATTTACCCTTAGGGTTGCTTGCGGCTATGTGTTGTAGGGCGATGGTGTAGTTTAAGGAGGACCTGAATACTCTCAACCTGACCTGACAGAAGAGACAGTAGGACTCTCTGACATCCGTCACTCACACAAGGAAAAAATCATTAATCACACATAGGGTTGCACGAAGACCACGTCTCTCGTAAAGCGACGAAGTAGTTGAAGGAGATATCGTAAGGAAGTGTCTTACCAGAACGTGACAAGAGAGTAGCACTCCTGGACATCGGTCTTTGCCCGCCTTCAAAGGAGATTTTAGCGGCGGTGGTTTGCGCTACCTCGTTACCAGAGCCGGGGTAGTGGCCACACTTCACCCTCAGTTTTCACCCTCTTACTCTAAGTACCCTTGTAATGCTCTCTCACATTTACAGTGTGGCCCTCGTGGCTACTGTGTTCCCACCCTCACTTGTGCTTCTTTATTTTCTTGTTTTCATTTAACGCTTGATATTCATAAGTAATTCTCTCTCTCTCTCTCTCTCTCTCTCTCTCTCTCTCTCTCTCTCTCTCTCTCTCTCTCTCTCTCTCTCTCTCTCTCTCTCTCTCTCTCTCTCGTGTAAAAGTTACATCCGTTCCACTTCTTTTCTTCTTTTCTTCATTCTCTTCTTTTCTTCATTTTTTTTTACATTTTATTCTTTTTTTCTACTCGTATACAAGTGGAACTAACCAATCATTCCTTGGAAATAATCAGATTACTTCTCGTTACCCAGGCGTTAACCCCTACTGGCTTAACGCTTTTTCTTTACGAAAATAATAATATAGCCGGGTTTTGTTCGTATCAAAACCGCCATCTGTATCGAATTATACTGGCTAGTGTTTTTTTTACAAAGTTCCTACTGAATCACTTATTTTCAAACAAACAGGTCATTATATTCCAGTAAAACATACGAAATTTTGTTTCTTCCTCATTTATTTAGTTTTTGAGTTAGGTATTGTTTTTTTATCAGTCTTATAGTATATACAATCTGTACTGTAAATACTGTATTCGTTAAATACGGTTTATACTCACTGAGAAATATATATTTTTTTGTGTATGTACACTAAATGTACTTTAATTCCAGTTTTATTAATATATTCTTAGTGTCATAATGACATGAATCAAACCAATCAAACTGTATTCTTTGATAGCCAAAACTTATTGAACATCTCGAATTCAGAACGCCACAAATTTCCAGTTAAAACAGACTGTTTCTCCAATCATTTTCTAATCCAGTCAGAACAGAAGCTTCCTTTTACGTGCTTAACCTGTAACTCCTGATTCACTGCTGAACCCATTTCAGAGCCTCTTCTTTCAGATATTTCATTTTTACGGCAATTAGATCATTCTTCCGCTAATTAACTAGTTTTAAGCAAGACCCTTGTATCATGGCGCCGGCCGTCCACCCGCACGCCCACACACTAACCTATCCGCCCGCTCCTTACTGTGTAATGTGTGTTACACAAGGTATTTTTTTCCATGGCAAATCCAGCGTGTGTGTTCTCTCTCGCCCGTACCGTGTTCGTTCGTGTTGGTGCTCACCAGTTTGGTTTGTCAGTCTTGGTGTTCGCTAGTGATGCTCATATCAGTGTTACTCACTAGTGATATTCGCATCAGTGTTGTTGTTCGCTATTGATGTTCGTATCAGTGTTGTTTCTCGTTAGTGATGTTCGTATCAATGTTATTGTTCGCTATTAATGTCTATATAAATGTTGGTGTTCGCTGGGTCGGTTTACGTCATGTGTCAGGGGAGATACAGTTCTTCTGGGTATCCTTTTAACAGCGTCTCACCAAAGTTTTATTTCAACCCATGAAAAACAGCTTGCCTGTGGATCACGGACGGAACAACTACATTCGTTAAACTGTTGACTGAGCGCAATTAAAACAGATAATAACATAAATATATTCATAACCTTGGCATATTTACTCAGAGCCAGAAACAATAAAATTACGAGCTCTTAATTCCAACAATTAGAGCTACAACAAATGATTTAGTTTCGAACTCAGTTTAAAACAAATAACAAAATAAAGGCCAGGTGTAGACTATTTGCGAGCTTCAATTCAATTAAAAGAAAAAAAATATTCGCCCAGTTAATCCTCACGTCAAAAGAACTTAATTTCAATGAGGTTTTGGACAACTGTTTTCACACCAGAGAATGAATCGTTTTTCTCGTAGGTTCGGCACTTGCTATCATGAAATAATGAGTTTGTGTTGTTGTTTTTTTATGGTGTGTGTGTGTGTGTGTGTGCGTGTGTGTGTGTGTGTGTGTGTTGTGTGTGTGTGTGTGTGTGTGTGTGTGTGTGTGTTACGAGAAAAAAAATACTCAGCTTTGGGGGAGAAACCTTCTGAGTTTTCCCTGATATTATTATAGACAATCCTTGTGCTGCTGTTCATTCGATGATGGGCCTCACATGACGCCTATAATGTGAATAATTCTTTGTTGAAATTCATGAACACTAATCTTAGTTTTATCAGACGTTAGCTAAGATTGACCATCCACTCCTGGGCCGCCCTCTTCATGTTAGCTTCCGTTATTAGGAAATGTTGCAATTTTTGTTTAGTGGCGTAAGGTTAATGGTTTTGCCATGTTGCGCTCTGCATTGGTCACTTCTCAACTACTTTTTTAATTTATGGCTTAAAATTACACATCTGCAATCCAAGTGAATAAAACCGGGTTTCATTGCAGGCCTCAAAATATCACTTCTTCGATTTTCTGTAGCTGCTGAAGCAGTTGTAGCATCAACAGCAGCAGCAGTACTACCACAACATTAATATCCTTAGCATCAGCACTAGCAACAGTTAGATTAAAATCAACTAGCATCAGTAGCACCAGGGAGAGTTGAAACCAAGTAAAGACCTGGAAAGAGAGCCAGGAGCTGTTCCCGAATAAGCGATAAAAACATTTAAGTAGATTTTATTTACTCACTGCTTCACAATTTTTACACTCGAGGGATGGAGTGGAGTGCCTTCATGACAGAGGAGGTTCTTGATCCAAGGAATTAAAGCCACCCTCCCTTTCCTTGGATGGGATCTGATTGTCTCCCATTTCCCTTCAATACTAGCATCGCAAATTCCCATGACTATAATAAGCCAAGATGTTAAGACACAGAGTTTCAGTTTTCGTTAAAGGATAAACCAAGTGCTGGATAAACCAAGTGCCTGTGTAGTGTGCCCATGTTGGTTGGTTTACAAGGTTTAAAACCTATCGACAACACGCGAGTCATTAAGACTGTATGTCACCTGTGCACCACCAACCATGAATACTTTAAACCCTAAAATGTGGATCGAAGTAAACTCTCAGTGTATATACATGAAAGCAACACAGCTCTCGGTGTATATACACCGAGACATACACACCTTCTAGGTGAATATATACTGAAAGAAGTACAAACCTCTCGGGGAATATACACCGAGAGAGACACAGCTCCCTGTGTATACACACCGAGAGATTCGAACCTCTCCGTAAATATTCCCTGAGAGATTCACGCCTGTCGGTGAATATGCAATGAATGATACATCTCTCAGTGTATATACACGGTGATACACACCTCTCCGTGAATATACACCGAGAGATAAACACCTCTCGATGTGTATACACTGATAGAGAAAAATCTCTGTTTATATTCCACCCGTCAGTGAATATACACTCAGAAATACACACCTAAGTATATACAAAGAGATACACTCCTCTCAGGGTATGTAGAATGAGAGATATCCTCGGTGACTACAAATTGAGAGATATGCACTTCTCTCGGTTTATAAACTGCCTTGAGGCAGAACAGACATATTTTTTCCCTGTAAACACATCGAAGTTGATGTGACCAGAGTGTGAGGCGCTCCCGCCTGACTATGATGCAGTGATAGCTAAAATATACATTGTTGCAGTGAGAGCTAAAATATACATTGTTTACAAAAATAACCCGCACATAGGGGAAAGAAGGTTATGATGACGTCTCGGTGTGTTTAGTCAATGGTCCAAGTCTGACCGAAACGTCGTCAAAGGCTCCTGTCTCTCCTATGTGCGGGTTATTTGTGTTCTAGTCACGGTATTGTGCATTTTTGCTCTTCATATACATTATTTAGATTTTTATACTTGCCTTTGCTATTACCAGTATTCTCAAAGTGGAAATAATATATTACGTGTAATGTATATGATCATTCTTGCAATTATGATAAGACACGTGTGCAATAACTGGATATTGCATACCAATACTCCTTTCATTGTAATTACGTGACAGATTAACCACGAATACGATGTGTGTCAGCCAACAGTAAGGAGGTTATCGATATGTTAACCTCATAAATATTAGCAATATTAATTGTTAGTATAAAAACATAAACTATAAAAATATTATCTTTGAAAATTTTAACTACATTATTAGCTCTATAAAGTTATCTACATAAATAATAGCAATAATGCTAAATTATAC